GGGAAGTATGTTCTCAAGGAGAGGGGGCTCCATGGCAAAGGTGAGGTTGCCGTCATCTGGTTTTAAAGAAAAGGGCTCCAGCGATAAATGTCCCACTACGATGGGGGTGTGGTCTTTATGTTGGGACCGCGTGTTGGAGATAACATGGCGGATAGTCCGGACAAACCATATTTCTCCCACACATATGGGATGGATTTGGGAGAGTCCGAACTGTCTAAATGATTGAATTTTGGGGAGCCCGGTGGGCACATGTTTGATATCCGAACTTACTCAAACATATGAAGGAGAAATGAGCTTCGACTTTAAAAATGGCCTTAATCATTTATTTGATTATTTATATGCATGCATTATAGCCTGTAGCAACGCACGTGCGGGCATCGATGCAAGGGGGGACTGGCAGCGGTGCACATGTGCGCGACGAGCATGCCCCCCTATCCTTTTATAGGGGTAAACATGCGTTGATTTATTGATCGTTAACCAAGTTTAAGAATTACAGAAATATCTTGCGGGTTTATAAGCAACACATGGCGAACCTCCGATAGACGCAAAGCATGTCTAGCTAGATTATTTTCCTCACTGTTAGATGGGCGTCCTTCATCTATATCTATACCAATACAAACAAGACCCATATCATGTCCATCGTCCTTCATCTTTATCTATACCAAAATAAAGAAGACCCATATCATGTTCATCCAACAACCTAGATTGCTCCAATGGGGAGTGCTCAACAATTTTAGCGTGCAATCAACATCATACCAAATATAAATATCAATGTTAACCGCATAATTAATAAGAAATTGATATCTTACCTAATATCAATGTGCAATTAATATTCTACCAAATATCAATGATTAACATGCAATTAATATTCCAACAAATATCAATGTCCATTGCACGTAGGCATTTACTAGTGAACAAGAGAGTAAGAAATAGGGGTGTCCTTCATGCGCCCCTATCCTTGTGGCGCGAGGAAGCAGATGGTGCACCCCTGGTGGGCTAGGCTGGTTCTACAATGGTGGGACGAAAGGTAAGCCCCCCTCGTTTCTTTTTATTATGTTTTCAGTTTACGTGCCATTTATTTGAATGTAAATGGAGATCAAATCATGCTAGACCTTATGGAAATATTCATGTAGCATCTTTGGACCCTTCCAAGATTTCAAAAAAAATTCCAAGAATTTTGGAATTTTATTTCTATTATAACTATATAATTCCAATTCAAATACAATAATTATTTAATTCCAAAGCCCAAAAATAATTCCCTTAAAAATCCCGAAAATTAGGATGGGACCTACATGGCTACATATGAGCTCATGCCTAAACTTTAGGGTTTAAGAAGGGCATTTTGCATTCTTTGAAAAAATAGGGTTTCACCCTTAATTAACATGAGACTTTGAATTTCCCTCATTTTCAAAATTCAATTGAATCTAAAGATGATGACATGACATGCTTAGCTACTCAAATACATTACCACTAACTAGTTTGGGACACTCTTCGTCGTTTTGTTCTTCGGTAAGGCAATTAGCTATGATGATCTCAGTCGATGGCGTCTTCTAGTCTACATCTACATCGACGACTTCCCGAGCGCTACTTCTAAAGGATCCTAGGTTCAAGCAAGTTTGCTCCGCTGAGAGGGAGACCCAGAGGCAGGAACGAGCTTTGCTCACAATCCGCAGCCGTTGGATGCAGGAGGAAAAAAAACTTCGACACCCCCAAAGATTAAGATGTATTTTTATAATTTGTGTAAGGGTGTTTTTAAGGGTTTGTGCTATTTTTTTGAAGGTGTGCACATTTTATTCAACTCAAATGATAGTTGCATCTTGGACCACTTCAACTAAAAGAAAACTCGAGGGATCATTATCCCAAGAAATCACAGATTGCGAATCATACAAATTTCTAGCTAAATAGTGTGCCACTTTGTTTGCTTCTCCAGGGCAATGCAAGAAAGACACTGATTTGTCTAAGAGCTATTCGAAAACACTCAACAAGGATTACTGATAAGGGCTCCAAATAACTGTTTCTTCATTGCAGGCTTGTACGATCTTGGTCAGTTGTAGGCTTGTATGATCTCGAGCCTATCACTCCAGGGTTTGTGCTACTTAATATACGACCTTTTTTGGTAAGAAAACTTCTGATCTATTCATCATCTATCATGGCAGGACAAAAAACACCAGAAATAAAAAAGTTACATCCGGGTATATAGACCACCTAGCGACGACTAGAAGCACTGGAGCGAACCGAAGGCGCGCCTCTGTCATCGGCCTCCCTCACCAGAGTTGACCAAAACTTGTTGTGGTAGATAGTCGAAAAGTCGTTGTGCTAAGGCCCCACGGGACCAACGCACAACCACCACCAATGAAGAGAAACATAGATCTAAATCAATAGGCACATGAACAAATACATGATCCAATAGGATCCACCGAAGACCAACACCGACCGAATTATGTGAGATCCGTTGAAGACACACCTCCACACGTCCTCCTCCAATGCTACACGAATCATCACGATGAGGGTTAGGCGGGCAAAATCTTATTCTATCTTCTTAAATAGGACACAAACCTAATCGAACTGGAGGAAAAACATCTAAAAACAAAGCAGGGACTCTCCCGCCGGCAACGGCCAGGGGCTTTTGCATCTCCATAGCTCTAAGGCCACCAGAGACGAGGTGGACCAATGGAATCGTCGACAAAGGTAGATGAAATCTAACCGGATGTTCATCTTTCATTTCTTCCATGGGAAGAAACTTAATATACGACCTTTGACCTTTTCTAGAAAAGTAATTTTTCTAGGTTGATGGGACAAAGAGATTCTATATTTTTGTCAATTTTTCTCGAATTAGCCTTTCCCCCGACTTTTCGATGGTGCTAACACAATCTTAGTCCATTTTCACATTTTCTGTCGGAACTGTAATAAAATGTTTTCCATAATTAACCGTGAAAAAAGTGTGTACCTCTAAAAAAACTGTGAGGTGGCTGCATGTAAATGGGCTTAGTTTTATTTTTTGAGGGGCATGTAAATGGGCTTCGTTGCGCAACTAACTCATGGCCTACACTGGGCTGAGCTGGGCCTGGGTATGGCAGCCTTTTAGGCCTATGCGCAGGGAGGCAGGCTGGGCTACCCGTGGTCGTCCCCTTCCTGCCGCCGCCGCCGCCGCCGCCGCCCATGGCTCTCCGCCGCGCCATCGGATCCCTTGTCGTTCGCTCCCAGGCCTACTACCTCCGCCGCGCCGCCCCCTCGCCTCCGCCGTCCCCCAGCCGCCCGATCATCCCCTACCGGCCCTTCGCCGCTCCGCCTCAGCACGTATGTCCCCTCCCTCTATTGCCCTAGGTCGGCTTTCCTTCTTCTCACCATCCCTGTCTTGTTCTCCAAAGGCCAAAAAGGTCACCAAGGACAACGACGACGACGCCGGGCCCAGAATCAACAATGACATCACCGCTCCCTTCCTCAGGCTCGTCACCGATGAAGGTAGGGAAGGGACGATGCACTCACTCACTCACTCACACCTCCCCTTTTCCATTCTCCATTCACCATTCAGATGCTGGACATGGATTGTTTCAGTTTTGCAGGGCATAGCGTCGTCCCCAGGCATGAGGCTCTTCAGCTCGCTGCCAGGATGAGCTTGGACTTGGTTGAGGTACACTACTCCATACTGCATTTTTCTTCTTCATCTTTAATTGTTTGTGTCCAGGTGTTGGCGTTTTCTTACTCTTCAATCGAGTGTTGGCATTTTCATTTCTCACGGTTATCTTGTCGTCGGTGCAGGTCCACAGAAAAACAGACCCTCCTGTTTGCAAGATCATGGACTTTCACAAAGAGAAGTATAACAAAGATGTCAAGGAGAAAGAACGCTTAAAAACCAAGGTATGTGTGATAAATCCTCGGTGAATCGGTCGTCCCATCAACACTGCAGTTGAGTTGAAATGTTTAGAAAGGAGCCATGTTCGTAATTGTTTCAGATCATTGGACTGAACTATCAGTTCCTTGATCCGTGGTAAGGAAACCGTTTGTTAGATACAGTCAATCTCAGCTAGAGAAACTGCCATTTGCTTTGGTGATACTCCCTCTGTTCCCAAATATTTGTCTTTCTAGGCATTTCAAATGGACACAACATACGGATGCATGTAGACATATTTTAGAGTGTAGATTCACTCATTTTGCTCCGTATGTAGTCACTTGTTGAAATCTCTAGAAAGACAAATATTTAGGAACGGAGGGAGTAGTATATATTTTTTTAAAGACACAAATAACTCTTTGATCTCTACAAAAACAACGGCATCTGGTTAAGAGCTATAGACATCTTATGTACTCATTAGTAGAATACATAGAAGATGTTCTTTGTAGGGGCATCTGCTACTGTTGAGTCTTTGGTTGTTGAGTGGAAATGGCCAGAATTGCATTTCTTTACTATTTGTCGTACTAGAGCACATTTGTGGTTACTGTGCTGTGTGTTGGGTTGGCTAGGGGATTATGTACTAATTCTAGTAAGATTTTACTGTTGCTTCATAAAAAAAATGATTTCGATTAACTGCTGTGTCCAGACTAGAAATGTGTAAATGCTTGTGAAAAGTAATGCAATGCTAAATGTAGCCTTAAAAACAGAGCAAGGGAAATGTTAATCACTTATACCTCCTTCCATGTTTGTATTACGTCTGCATAAATCATAATAATGAGCACCTTCAATGTTCTGCAGTCTGCTATTGTCTTGCGTGGTGGAGATAACAAAGAAGTGCGGTTTAAGGCGAAAACAGTAAGTTTTCTTAATTGTTGTAGTTCTTTTGTTAATTGCAGGCTGCATGCTTGTTCTATTTTGGTCATTGCTGTTTGGCAGTAATAGTGAAATATTCTATCATAACTTTTTTGTTCAGATGTGGAATGCGTGCTTGATTGCTACCTTTTAGCTGGAGTAATAGGTTGATTGTACTGCTACATGCTTTTTTTGCTGTTTGTTTGGACCTATACCTAGTTGAATTGACGCATTGACCTGGTGTCACATAAGGTTGTTAAATAACATAAACTATTGTTTGCAGGAAATTAAAGACTTGAAGGTGAAAGCAGATGCAATTACCAGGCTAATGGAGCGTGGTTACAGGGTGAAGGTAAGAGTGCTCATGTACTTTTTAGTTCTTATTTTGTATGATTTTGCAAATATTTGGTGACAACCCAAGGAACTGTATCACATGGAATTGTCAATAAACCATATTTGTGTTTTTTTTCCTGTTTAACCATTATTTTATAATAATGTGTACTGGGGCAATCCCCAAGGAAATTTTGACTGTAGAAGGGGAAACCAAAATAGTGTGAAATGATTAGGGGCCTTTTGTGGATCTGGAACTGTTGATTGTGAAAGCTGTTGTGACATGTAGGGGCGTAACAGAGCTGAAGAGTAGTAAACTCTTAAGCACATTGATCTCCATGTATCGATGTTTGACACTGCAGAAGATGATATGTGCTACAGGTGTGTGTGGAGTTTAGTTTTTTTTTTTTTGCGGAGTCTTACATCATATGTTGAGTCTAGATCGATCCCTAACTGGAGTTGTGTTGGTGGTCATGTTGATGTTATAATTGGATCTTGATGATATGGCTTGTACGCGACGGCAGTATGTGTGTAGTCTACTTTTGTACCTATATAATGGTAATGGGCATGAAGTTTATTATTCAGGAGGAACTTTCTGTCTTCTCCATGCCTCTAGAGAACCCCAGCTGTCTCATATCTTGTTGCAGCAATAATTCTATCAGTTGGATCTAAACTGTGGATGGAGAATCACAGTAACATGTTTTCCCTTTATCTTCACTTGAAGCAATAATTGCCTGACGGAATTTGCCTTTATTTTTACCTAAGATGACAGTATTTAGCAGTGTCTTTGAAACTGCTAACCAGCATGCATATATCAGATACCAGCTTGAACTGGATTTTCGTTTACAGCCTATTTATTAAGACTTCATAGCTATATATTGGATTTGTGGATGTTCACATGCATATGTTTCTCTTAAATACTCGGGCACAAACTGTGGAAAACCTAAAGATGCTTCTGTTTGTCAGTGCATGGCAATGCCCGCAGGTAATGAAGCAGAAGATTTAGGCGGACCGCTATCTCGGCTGTTAGGACTTGTGAGTACTCTGTTCTGTATTGTCCCCTTCCTCCTTAACTAATATGAAAAATGTAATTCAATTCAGTTTAAGAATTGCTCTCCATGAAAGTTCATCTCTTTCTACAATTTCACCAATTGAACAGATACAAGATGTCTGTATTGTGGAAAGTGGGCCACATTTGGACTCCAAGCATGCATATGTTATTGTCAGGCATGTGAAGTTTGCAACCAAGAAAGGCGGAAAGAAAGCTAGCAAGGCCATGGAAGACGCGGCCAAAGGCACCCCCTACAACACTGCCTCTGAATCACCAGCCACTGCTACTGATAGTGGGGACAAGACAAGTGAACATGGTTTGGAAGTTAAGGATGTTGACAAAACGCCAGCCTATCTCTCTCGTGAATCTTTGGCGCAAAAAGAAAGGCAAGACAGAGGCGTTGGAGGCAGCAACCGCGATAACATGGACAACGTGAGTGCTGGAGGAAACAGGATTAACCCTAGTCAGGGGGGATCACAATCATCCAAAAGTGGAATTGGTTCTAGGAATGGAAATTATCACATGGAAAAGCAAGAGAGGACTAATCAGGATATGGTACCTGAGCAAACCAACAGGTATGCCAGCCGTAGAAATCAGGTGGGAGGCGACAACCAAGGCAGACCCCCGCAGGACCCGAGAAGAAATGAGAATGAAGGCCGCAACCGTTTCAACGACAATCGAAGGCCTTTGGAACAGCCTAGCCCGCCACCGCCACCGCCAAGGTTCAGCCAAGGCAGACCCCCACAGGACCCGAGAAGAAACGAAAATGAAGCCCGTCACCGGTTCAACGACAAGCAGAGGCCTTTGGAACAGCCTAGCCCGCCATCGCCAAGGTTGAGCCAAGGCCGACCCCCACAGGACCCGAGAAGAAACGATAGAGGAAGCCATGTCCCATCGAATAACAACCAGGTGCCGCGATTCCAACAATCGAATCAGAACAGTGGACCACTAGCAGGCCGGGACGCAGGGAGTCCGACTCCGACAGCCAGGAGTTTGGGCGTCTTCAGCAGCCGAACGCCAGCCACAACATCCGAGCTGAAGAAGGCAGATGGCGCTCCCGCTGCTGGTAAGCCTTCCGACCCCGGTCCGACCAAAAGCTTTGGAATATTTAGTACTCCCAGAAAGTGATCCTGTGATGAAAAGGAAAGTCGTGAAACATGTAGCTGTTTTTGGCCGCCATTTTTGTTGTTTTTATTTATTTGTTTCAAATAATCCTTAATTATCCCCATTATTGACCCTTTGCATAAAGAAGAACATGGGAACATGAAACCCATGCATGCATGTAATGTGGTGTGTGTCAGCTCTTTTTGACCCCCCAAAACAAAATCGAAGGTTTATTGAACTGTCTGGCATGTGTTAAGTAACAAGTGCGGTTCTTGGCGTTCACTACTTACGGCAAGGAACATTATGGTGGCATTTTATATAAACTCCATTTGGGTCAATGTTTGGGGCATCACATGCCCGTCCAGGAAAATGCAAGCAGCGAAGAAGAATAGTAGCCAGCAGGAAGAAGATGAAGCTACATAGATGTGCATTGCCGCATGGATAAAGCTGGCAAATTATAACCGTCAAAAGGGCGATTTGCTGCACAGGGGCGGCGATCTCCTATTCCCCTTCTCCCTTTTTTTCCGATAGATTAGAATATCATTACAAAGAGTTTTCCTTATACAATACGGAGTTACGTTACACATGATAGAATTACTGGAGGAACCTTATTTCTTCACCTGTGATTTTTTTTTTCATGTGGAGAGAAGGGGGATGGGATTTGGGGCACGCGCTGAGTCCCTCGCACGGGCATTTAATTTCGGAAATGTTAACGCCCACACGTGTGGGCGTTTCCATCTCGCCCACACGCGTGGATCCGTGTCCGTTCGTGAGCGCACGAATCTTGGCATGTTTCTAGTGTCACGTAGGACAGGCCTGGTGTGTGGGCGTTCACCCGGTCGCCCACACGGCCGTTTCATCACATGGGAGGGGCTGGTGTGTGGGCGTTCAGTAGTTCGCTCACACGCCACTTTCCTGGCACGCACAAGGGCTAGTGTGTGCGCATTTGCTATCTTGCCCACACGCCCGTCTCCTCTCCCACACCCAAGCTGCTAGTTGCCATGTGTTTTGCAGTGCACATGGCAACTGCCCTAGTGTGCTTTATAAGCAGGTGGCAACTCTTTTTTTACCCGAATTGCCATGTGTTTTGCAGGGTACACGGCAACTGCCTAGTGTGCACGTAAGCAGATGGCAACTCTTTTTTACCGAGTTGCCATGTGTTTTTGCATGGTACATGGCAACTGCCTTAACGTGCACGTAAGCAGATGACAACTCTTCCTTTTTACATGGCAACTGCCCTAGTATGCTTGTGAGCACATGGCAACTCTCTCAACTGCCTAGTGTTAGTATGTGGTAACTCCTAAAGTTTTGAAATCATGGCAACTACAGTAGACCAGACCATACATGGCAACTACAGTTGAACAACCATGGCAACTGCAGTTGTCCGACATGGCAACCGTAGTTCAGCGACATGGCAACTGCAGTTAAACGAACATGAACGAGGGTCTGGACCATGGCAACTGCGGGGGCGCGGTAACTGTCACGCGTGGCGTGCGGGACCATGAGGTACGAGGCCTAACATACGGGGCGTGTGGACGTTATCTACTTTACCCACACGCACGCGTGTGAGAGAGATCGAAAGGGAAAAAAGAGGTGTGTAGGCATTACTTGTTTTGCCCACACGTAGGTGTGTGGGTTATTCCTCTTATACACCACACAAAATGTGTGGGCAGACTCCCTAACGCCCACATGTGTAACACTTATCGGCGTCCTTTAATTTTGGCTTCCGATTTTCAAACTTCTATATCTTTTAAATGAAAATTTTAAATTAAGTTTCATTTTCATATTCATGTCTCTTGTTACTAGCGCTTTCAAATAGATTTATTTTAGAGACTTTAAAAAATAGGTTAAGTTTCAACGGTTGAAACTTAGTACGGGCGACAAATAAAATCCCGTACATTGTGCCTACGACCGACAGAAAAAATCGCTTAAAATTTTACGGAAGTTTCAACGATTGAAACTTAGAACTTACTTATGTCCTCATGCAGGATTCAACTACTTCATGAATTGCGAATCAACCTATGGTTGGATGGTTATGAGTACAGTGATATTCCCGGCCCAACAGGGTTTAAGTCCTGATGCTCGTATTATTTCAGGATTTATTTCAGGAATTTGGTGATGCGTGTTCAGTGAAAGAAGGCGTTCCCGTCGACTACGAGGCGTCTGTGATGAGTTCATCAATCTCAAGATAATATATCGACTCAGTTTCTCAGAGATGCTCATAAAGATAGGATCTATGTGTGTATTCATAGGGATGAGTGTATGCACGTATATATTAGCGCATTCGTCTATGTTATGGAAAAACAACTTAACGAATCACAAGGCGATCGAGTTGCCGGATATGGCTTGTCAGGTGCGTGCCCCATTTGGCAGATTTGGACGGCTGTTTGTGTTAAAAAAAATTTGGACGGCTGTTATGTGAGACCCATGACCCTACCTGGCGCTTATAGACGAATTCGTTTGAAGGAAAATGACCGAAGCTATCCAAAGCTTCTGTTCCTAGGGAGCTATGTTAGGACAATCTAGGAGTTTAGTAAGAGCCTGTTTGGACTCTCTCCTCGCTTCAACTCCGCTCTGGAGCAGCATCCAATACAAATTTTCTTAGTCGCTCAAGGGGCAGTCCGCGCGCTCCGATCCGCGCTGAAGGAGCGGAGGGTTGCCAAACAGGGCCTAACTTTAAGGATGGATATCTGCTTCAATTTTTTTAGCTGATTTTTATGCAATATTTTTGGAGGCTGCTAGGAATCAACTAAGGGCATGTACAATGGTGCCATCTTAAGAGTGCCACGTAAGATAAATAATGAGGTGGAGAAGAGAAAACTCATAAGAGAAGGCTTGTCTTCTCTTATTTAAGATAAGACAAGAGATGATCTCTTAGCACAATATGTCTCACCACATTTTTAGGAATTGCTAGTTATTGAAGATAAGACTAAGAGATGACCCATTGTAGACATTTTTCTTTGTCATCTCTAAATTACATGCAAAACTTAAGATAAGACTATCTTATTAACCATTGTACATGCCCTAATTGATTTTGCGGGAAAATCGGTCAATCTGACAGCCGTCAAATTGTGCCACTGACAGCAGCATGATCAACCCCTCCTTATCGTTTTTGTCCTCGCACAAATCCCTTCGGCAGTGTCGTCACCTAGCAGCAGCCGACATAGCAAAGCTGATATACATGTAGTAAACCATGAGTCACATTGCAGATTCCCCCGCCGACGAGATCCATGGGTCGCAATACCATGCACGCTCCATTGTAGCTCCACCGCCGGTGAGATCCGCCGGTTGCAGTAGTACACACACTGCACCGCAGCTCTGTCGTGCCGCTGTTGAGACGTCGCAGCACCATGAATGTTGCACTCAACTCCACTATCGGTGAGGTCTGCCGGTCACATCACCACGTGTTGCACTGCAACTCTGTCGCTCCACCGATGAGACGGTTGCAACACCATGAACACTGCACTGCAGCTCCATCGTCGGTGAGGTACGTCGTTCATAGCACCACGTGTTGCACTGCAACTCCCCCACCCTGCAAGATTTGCGAGAACATGACACCACGCATGCTGCATGGAAGCATCTCCTGGCCGCCTGCGAGATCCATAGGGTCGCAACACAACTTGTGTTGCATTGCAGCTCCGCCGAGGTGGTCCGCTCTGCAGAACCAAGCATTCCTCCTCTACAGCACCGGCGGCGCTGCATCAATGTGATCGACAACATCGACCATGGTAACTTCTAATTGCGCCGACAATGCTCGACAACACCGACTGCAACAATGGCCAACCTAGGTGCTATGGGTCGTCGACTGTTGGGGTGCTGCAGTCTGCAGCTACTCCGATGACGCCATGGAAAAAGGTTGAAGAGGGATGCAGAGAGGAAGAGGAAAAAATGGGGGTCTTGCTTGTCTAGTGGAAGAACGACTGGCTATCGTTGCTGCGTCTAGAGATAAGGGGTGCGTGAGCGCAGGCAACGCAGCATGATCATGTTGGGGAACGTAGTAATTTCAAAAAAAATTCTACGCACACGCAAGATCATGGTGATGCAAAGCAACGAGAGGGGGAGTGTATCTTCATACCTTGAAGATCGCTAAGCGGAAGCATTTAACAACGCGGTTGATGTAGTCATACGTCTTCACGATCCGACCGATCCAAGTACCGAACGCACGGAACCTCCGAGTTCTGCACACGTTCAGCTCGATGACGTCCCACGAACTCCGATCCAACAGAGTGTCGAAGGAGAGTTTCATCAGCACGACGGCGTGATGACGGTGATGATGATGCTACCGACGCAGGACTTCACCTAAGTACCGCTACGATATGATCGAGGTGGATTATGGTGGAGGGGGGCACCGCACACGGCTAAAAGATCAATTG